CTTAGCTTTTTATTTTTAATAAGCTTTTCCTCAAGATGAAAGAAAGAATTGTAATATCAAACCGTTTTAAAATGTTTTCTTTTAATGTTATTGTTTGTATAAAATAGTTGCTTTATTTGCCATTTCTATATTATCTGCTCATTTTTCAACAAACCAGTAGTTGAGAACGACCATTTTTCCCCCACCTTAGTTCCTATGCTCTTTATAAGATCTTTAAGTCATCCTCAGAATACATCTTTCAAGTTGTTGAAAATAACTGATCACCCAAAAGTGTTGTATTTCATTCACCTTTTTTTTTCTTTTTTGTTTCTGTGGAAAAATGATTGTTTTGAATTTCAAACAGTATTACTATTCCTAAAGGGACCAAGAAATGATGTATAGAGATAGTGAAGTAACACATTTTACTAAAATGTCTGTAGCTGAGAATAAGTTGGTTGGTAATTTGTTTAATAACTGTTTGGGAAGCTTTTTTCCTTTAGCATTTTGTGAGCTATTTGGTGAATTTTTTTTTTTTTTTTAAAGACTTAAAATCTTTGTGCAAATTTCTTTGTCTTATAACATTGGGAATCCCCCCCCTTTTTAATGTAGCTCCCAGAAAATCTGTTTTGCCATTTTATAAGAGAAATCCCGATAACTGTTAACAAGACAATAACAAATTTGTTAACTGATAATATATAAATATGATAGCTTAGATTTAAACTCGTTTTTTTTTTCTTTCCTTTTTCTAAAAGGAAGAAAATACATTGTTTTAAGTTATTTTTAAACCTGTGTATACTCCTGTTGGCAAACCATTGTACCTCACTCATGTTCATGCAAAATCATTATTAAAGTAAAAATAAAAAAATTAAAAAAAAAAAGTATTTTTTATTATAATTGCAAATCTTCATAATCCAATTCACTGCCCTCTGGCAGCTTTATAAAACCAATTTCCTCATATCACGTTTTAAAAACATTTTATGTGATACAGTTTTTAATATCTACTGTTATCAACACACTTACTTTACAAATAAAATTCTATATAACAATTTCATTATTGTTCAGTCAATAGTAAAATCGATCTGATGGAAACACAGATGACAAATGAACAGCTGAAAAATAAATTTAGTAACAAAAAAAAAAAAAAGTAACACTGTGATAAAGAATTTGTTTTCCTTGCCTAATGAATGGTTGAATTTTTTTTTTGTTTGTTTGTTAAATACTGGGATTTGTTCTTAAAGAAACTTTTATTTCATATTTTGTTCAAGTTTATAATAAATTACAATTTGGTTCTAAACATGTGTTACAAGCCTATTTCTTTATGCACACACATTCATTTCTCAAGAGTTAATCATCTGCATTGAAGGATAATTAAGCAGTTGAAATATGAACTAACAAAATCATTTTAAACTGCATCACCCGTTTAACTGTAATTAATATTAAGATGTAAACATAAAATGTAACACTTGCCCAAGCTTTTCATTGACGGGCCAATGATTGCCTCCCCACATTGCATGGCCTGTTGCTGTCCACAAGGTAACACAATGGAAGACAAACACATCAGAAAATAACAATGCAAAATCTTTCCTAACTAGATGTCTTATTGAGGGCGTTTCTTGCTTATCTTTGGATGTTTAGCAAAAATTGTCCTAAAGTATCACCTATGTTAGTCTAACAGCTCAGTTCTTTGTCCTGCCAACTCTTCAACCTGATAAGGTGGCTGGCAATACAAATGGACGGCACAGGAACCATGGGACGTTCAAGTGAGTTTCCTGCCAAGGTTGAACCATAATTTTCCGCCCCATCCCAGACATGACTGATAATATAGACCAGCACATGGGATGTACTCTATTTCCAGAAACCCTCTAATCCCTCCTTTAAAATTCCCATTAGACTTCAAAGTGGATGACTTGAGATAAAAACCACATCTTCCCTTTGATATGTTATAATATATATATATATATATATATATATATATATATATATAATTTAACCTCCACTTCGTTGCGTAAAAAAAAAAAAAAGAAAAGCATAGCATGATGAAAAAGACCCAAAACTCGATAAAAACAGTTTTGTCATTAAAATGTTTGGTCTTTCCTCTTACTAATAATAAGTTTTTTTTTTTTTTTTAATTAATTTTTACTCCTTTGTAGCACATTCAAAATTTTGTTTAAAAAAAATTTTTTTTTTTTTTTTTTTTTTTTCCAGTGAAAAACTCATTGATTTTAATTGCTTTGATAAATAAGATTTATTAAGGACATTATTGTCTTTTTTTTTTTTTTTTATAATTCATTTTTACAATTGGAATAATTCATTTTTTTTTACAAGAATTATTTTCATTTTTTTTTTTTTTTTTTTAAATTTTAAATAATTTGTAATATTAATTGTTTAAATCTGTCTAATTTACTGCGCACGAGAACTATTTACATAGACACACTCAGTTTGCGCAATGATACCTACTGATAGCTCTTCTGCAGAAAATGTATGCAAATAATGGCTGTCTACGACATGAATGGATCTGAACTTTCACTGTTGATAACTCCAAAACAGTAGATTTTATCAAGCCAGATTCTAATGGAGCATGTACAATTACACATAAATTTAAGTATGCTGTAAATTTTTAATGCAAACTGAACAAATTAACTGAAATGCTTGTATATTGTGTTTTTTATGCTATAAGTAATATTTTTTCAAATCAGATTAATTTAACTTTATTTGAGCAAAATTAGCAACTTTAATGTCACAAGTACATATTTTATTTTTGGAAGAGTTTAAAAAAAAAAAATTGTTTAAGTTTCTTAAAAGCGGTCATTTTCTTAATTTTAAGAATTTTCTTAAAATCAACCAAAATTCTTATTCAAAATACATAAATTTTACTTACTGGAAATAGTAAATGTAACCATTTAGCTTTCAATTAAATCTAAAATGAAATCTTCAATGTTTTTTCATTTTTAAAAATTAATTTTAAACCTTAGGTATCAAAAAGTCAGTGGAGATATATATATATAGATATATATATATATATATCTCCACTCTTCAATTTTGAGACATTTATTCATGTATTTTACCCAAACTTATTTTTCAGTTTCCAACAATTTACACTTGTATATATATATAAACAATTATCTTAATCAAATTTTCAACGTGTTTGATTTTAATATTTCCAGATTTTACATTGGATAATGAAGTTTGTTTTCATGATTGTTAATCGACTGTTCTGCAAGAAATTGTATGTGCAGTGTAACCTTTAGGACATGGCAAATTATGACTCTCCACAATTTCCTATCTTTTATAGTTCTTAGTAATGTTTCTTTATTTTTTTTTTTTTTAGTATTATACCTCCATGTTCTGTCATCCATTTACATAACCTACCTAATGAGCCCTTTTTCTTCTCTGCCTTCAGTAGATCCTGTGATTGTTGAATTCTCCAAGCCCTCTTTCTTCATTATGTGTCATTTTGGTTTCTATTTTCCTTATGAATTTCTTTCATCAGCTCAAATGGATTGAGATTTTTGTAGGAGTCCAGACTTGAGCTTTTACATCACAGCATTTTATTTCTAAAGTTGTTCTAAATTTCAACATATTGATGCAAAATAATATACTTGTCTTTAAATACACTCATGGGTTTAAAAAAAAAAAAGTTCTAGGATCAGATCTCTCATCCTCCTTGCATGAAATGTTCTCAGCTTTATAGCTTTTCTTTTCCATAATTCTCTCTGCCTGCATGCAATATCTTTCTATAAAAAAAAAAAACCCACCACCAGTCACCGCTCCCCTCCACACATGGTGACATTCCATTCTCTTTTCATCTTTTATTCAAACTACAACAGTACATCAATATTTCAATTTGTAAAGTCCCCCTCTTTATTTACAGTGGTGGCTGTCCTTTAAATCTACACTATAATCCAAATTGTTAAATTCAGAATTAAAAAAAAAAAAAAAAAAAATTTATACTCTGTTCATCACTTAATACGAGAAGATGGAAAATAGTTAACCACTAATTGCTTAAAAAAAAAAATTAAAGATTTCATTGAAAATTTTATAAACTTTGTTATTGTACACAATCTGGAGAAAAGTGTATATGGTTTTCAAATCTTTAGCAAAATAGTTGAACAAATGTAAACAATTCATTTAGTATTAGTACGCAAGTTGAATAACTGTGCCTAAATGCATGTAAAAATGTTACCTTCATAAATGGTATGGATTTTTCTAATGAGGTCTGCTCGTTCCCTGCATGCTGGAAGATAGGCCAACTCAAGCTGAGAGATGTGTTGCATGTAACACGTCATGGAATCTGGAAAATCTTACCTTCATCCCCGTTTAATATCAAACGATACTTCAATAACTAGGCATTATTTAAGCTAATAAATTTAAAATATAGCTCTGTATATAAGATAGAGCTGTCCAATATGAAATGATAACCCCTGCCCCACAAAGCATCTGAATGCAGCTATATATTTGATCATAGACCAGTTCTTTGAAAGTATTTCTTGATACATTATCTCATTTTCCCTGGTTTCTTTAGAAAGATTCTTGACAAAATCCAAAGAGTTTAATGTAATTGGTCCTTACCTGGCATTTCAACCTTCACTTTCCCACTGCAGTGACAGTCAACCCCACCCACGGACTGCATGAATTTAAGCATACTACTAGATTGAGATTGGCAACTAAGTCTCACCTTTTTACTTTTAAATTAGCCAGATGTAACTATGTTCTATTCTCACCTGTGAAACTCATCTGGTTTCTTACTTCCCTGCCACCTACAATTTTCAAAAATTTAAATGCAACCTCATGCTTGGGAGTTGGGGAACAAGGCCATCAGTATGAACTGAGCTGGAGATTCAAACTTACAATTTTGTAAAACCCATTTTCAAAATCTTACCCAATGATTCAGCCAGTTTACATAAAATTTTATATCAAAATACTGAATAAAGGATAAAGAAATGTTTTAAAATATTTTTATGTATTCAAACTTGCTTCATTATATAAAGATACATGCAGCACAATGTCATGTGATTCTATGTTCAGCTGTCATGCCAGGTCAGCTCAAGTGTTTTCATGATGAAGCAATATAAATCAGTGTGTTCTTGAATCTAAAAAAAAAAAAAAAAAAAAAAAATTAAAAACAAGAGTCAAGAAGTACAGTGCTTGATACAGCTTTTGAGTAACCAAAAAGAAAAAATTATTTTCTTGCAGAATCTAATCTGATTTTAAAGTATCACTGAGTAATAAAAATTCACTTTGGTAGTTTTAATGTTTACAATGTGGAATAAGACATCAACTATTTAGTTTTAGATTGGTCAAGTATGAGTAGAAAACTAAAACTTATGCAACAGCTTTTAATCAATATAGACTCCATTTGATTCTATGACACTTTCCCCAATTTGTAAGAAAAAAAATCTTCAAAACCAAATACAGTGGCCCTGTAATGAAGATGTTTTAAAACCAAGTGTCTTGTACAAATCAATTCTAGTGCAGATTTAGTAAAAAAAAAAAAAGTTACCATTTTGGCTGTGGGTTTTCCGCTTCCATGACCAGCTTTGGTATCCACTTTGATCATCAGGGGTTTTGTCTGAAACCAATAAAATATTCAGTGTTTAAAGAACAGGATATGTGGTGGGGGATTAATATGAGCTGTTAGCACAACACATAAGAAAAAAAATTAAAAAGACCTTCACAGTGGGTTAATCCTATATATATCTCTAGAATAGAACACATTAACAGATTTCATTAATTATTATTTTATCTACAGCAGGTCAAGACTCATAACTGGTTAGAATGCCAGCAAAACAAGTGCTGGACAGTCTGTAATCCTGAAAAGGACAAGAATTTTCGTGTTAAAAAAATTATTGTAGTCACCCTGATGGTGTCTTCAAACTTTATCAAGAGCTACAAAGGACAGGAAATTGAAGAGCCATGCCATGATTGTCCACGTCCTGAAGGGACACAGCCCATAGAAGAACTAAAATATCTTTAATGAAACAAAAAGCCTTATGAAGCTGTGAACAAATGTTTAACTGTTTTTGTTAATTCCATTAGTCATAGCTCCATTTCAATGCTACGACTTATAAATATGGAGAGTGTTTGTGTTTACAGTAACTGCATAAAGTTAACAGCCTAAAAAGAAAATGCAAGGAAGGATTTTCATTTGATATTGGTAAGTTTACAATGACAAGAAAGTGCTTTTGGAAAAAAAAAAAAAAAAAAAATTGAAATTTTCTTACAAACAGTAATTGCTACTTTTGGAAGTAACAGAAAAAGAGACAAATCCCAAATTTCCTTATGCAAAACAATTTTTGATAAGTATTATACGTATGCCTAAATTATAGTGACAGCCAAATTTAATAGAGTGAATAATGTAAACTCCCACTACAAATAGAAAAATGGTGACTGCCTTAAAGCATCAATTTCACCTGTTTCTCTTGGTCTTTCATGGTATGCTGCAATTCTGCAATGAACTTGAGAGAATGGAGTGGCACCACACGATCATCATGGTCAGCAGTTACTAACAAAGTTGATGGGTACTGTACATCACCTTTAGGTATACGGATGTTATGAATAGGTGAATACCTGAAATATAAAACATTATAATGACCTTTGTGTGTTTGTACGAGTTTTGTTTTCAGGCAAAATTTATTCATTTTTAAGCATCATAGTAGATTTTCGTTTTTCATGCTTATGGAATCAATTTGTAAAAATAGTAAGACTGATAATAAAAAAAAAAAAAAATGGAAGATAGTTGACAAAGATTGAATGAGAAGGTTATTTATGAAATAATGAAAGTCTAATAAATTTGAAGGCACGAACACCGACTTCTGTTGATGGAGCTAGGTTAACATGTAACAGTGGACAAATTTGCCTCACACTAATGCACTTGAGAAAGGAATGAAGCCATTTTTCTTCCTCCAGTTATGGCAGTAAACAATTGAGAACACTTCTAGAGATTTATAAGATGATGGATTTTATGTGATCCCAGATTACTTTGACAGAAGCATTTTTTCAGATAGGAATTCCAAGAGAAAGTAGAATCTGCTGTCTAGTATCCTTATTTTCCACCAGCTATAGGTTAAATAGGATAGTGTAGACTTTGATTGCCAACCAAGGCTACAAAGACAACTCCGAATTTGAAACTAGACAGCAAGAGGGGAAACACTTTATTTCCCAAGAAAGAGCATATCAATACAGTTTATAGATATCAAAAGGAGAAGAATGCTGTGGAAAGCTATGATTACTTAAATTTTGAAGTGGCATAACAGAAATGAAAGACAGAAATCTTAGCTTTAAAGGCAACTTTTTCTAAGAAAAGGTCAGTAGACTTACTCTTTGAGAAATTTAAAATGTTCTGGCACTTCTGAGCAACCAAAGTCTGTTGTCCAGGCATGACCAATTGTAAATTTATGGAAACGCAGCATGTCCAAAACACTAAGAAATAAAAGGAGAAAATATTTTGCTTTACATTTCATTAAATCTTGTTATTCTTTCATTAACCTGTTGGACTGAGAGTTTGTTTTTTTTTAATACAATTTACACTTATAGTGAATAATCATAAAAATCTTGATCATTGATGTGTTTATGGCAATATACATGAAAGACATCATTCAGTGAACAAGATGATTATTGCTTTGGAAATACTATAATTCACTTAACGTAATCTCATAATTATAGATTACTTATGCTATTTTCTATGCAGATTAAACAAGCACAGGTCACCCATAATAGGAGTTACTCAAGCTCAGAAATTCATTGACAAGCTTCAATAGAAAGATCCTAACATCAGTCTTAAGGCTGGAGGAACATTGCAAATCTGTAGTGAGGAGTAAGACAATGAAATCAGGCATGGCTGATCATGTATGGAGGGAAAGGGGTAGTCATCAGCCACTGAAATGTAGTAAAAATACTGGACAAGGAAGAACCCTGGAGTCTGAAAGAATCAGCGCATGTGCTAGGCTATGAGGACCTCCTTAGTAGGCCTAGTACAGAACTAAATACAGTGTGGAGTCACCAATAAAGAAAGGCAAATCTTCAACAGAAAAGCTTCTGTGAGTGCAATCAAGCATAACAAACAATAGCATTTATCAGCAAGGCAGGTTAGGTTTAAAACTTCAATTTCTTCACCAAGAAATGTTGGTTTGTCAATTTGGTGATATAGTAATTGTGAGTTCAATCCCTAGGCCAAGCTGTGCACTCTGATTTATTGCTCTCTGTTTCTACAAAGCAAGAACTAGACTGTATCCCTAGACATGAGAACAGTTTATCAAACATATGAGAAGTGGTTTGTAAAATTTCATGCTGAAGATTTCTCTGAATGATGCTCCATGGTTAGGTAGACCAGTGGTATAACTAGAAGAGGAGCAGGGAAGGGTGTTGTCCCCCAACCTCCAAGCATATTCTTTAAAAATGGTATTCTTTTCAATAGCTTTTGTTCCCTTGTACAATAAAAGGGAAGCCTTTTTTTTTTTCTTTTTTTCTTGGTACATTTATTTTTAAATTATCTGATGGCTTTACTTTCTTTGACCAGTGTTCTGAACTACATCCTCAGTCTCTTATAATGCCTGGGTTGCTGCTGGCATCTGGGGAACCAAAACAAACTAACATCATAACTTTCACACTGATACAAGCCTATACCATATACTCATCATTTTCCATGTAACAAGTTACAATCTTAGATATATATCTAAGTTTCATATATAAATGACATTATTACTGAAACAGGAAGTTTAGGAATGTTGACAAACTTTTTACAATAAGCTGAAGTTGATTAAGAAAAAACTGAAAATTATTAACAGTATTTTTTTTTTTTTTTTTTGTAAAATTACATACAACCTTTAAAATTTTTTTTTTTTTTTATTTTAAATAAAAAATAAAATTTTAAATTATTTAGTATATGCCCTGGTGCATATTTCAGGTATTTTTACTCAAACTTTATAACCTGGCAACATTTCTTGTGTAGACTATTTGAGAGAAATCCAGTAAAAATATTACTAAAGAAATGATCTATATCTATATATATATATATATATATATATATATATATATATATATATATATAAAAGATATTTTAGGTCACGTAATAGACTCCTATGTGTATAGAAACAAAAAGAAAGATCAGAAAATGACTATCACTTTCAGTAAACAGCAAAACTTAGGAAGGGCGACAATAACACCAGAGGAAATACACGCATATCAATTAGTTCTATGATGTGGATAAAAATACAGGAAAGTTGAAGTTTACTTACCCGACCTGTGCAATGGCAGCACCATAAAGATCTGGCCGTTGATTGATGCAAGCAGCTATTAATAAGCCCCCATTTGAATGTCCATGGATAACAAGCCTGAAAGAATTCCATGGAGAGTCTCAAATTACATTTTGTCACCATTACTATAATAATTTATTGGTCGAATGAGATCATCTCTAATCTATAGGAATATAACGGTGTTCTGGGCTGTGGCTTACCCACGGCGACCAATCATGGCGGTACTCAGGGTCAATCCCAGTCTGCCCACTTGGTCAGGATCGATCCTGGTATCAGAGAACAGGCTACCAGCCCACTCATCGGTTGTTGATGGCGTTTGACACAGCAGCTGGTCTCTAAGTTGACCTCTTCAACTGTGACCTCTCTTACCCACATTGTGATTTTGATCTTAAGAGGGTCAGGCTGAATTTCTACTGGGGTATCTTAACCACGCTAAACCAAGGAGTTGAACACGTGCATATAAAATTGAAAAATAAAATGGACGATGCCTGAATAAGTCATGATATGATGTTTATATCAGAATAAAAAGAAATATTTACAGTTCTTTCTTTTTCTTCATTTCCCAACCGTTCTAATAACTGGCAACAGAACGAAAATTGCGGGTAGCTTCTTTGAAAAATCTTCAAGTACTGTGATTTGTACTTTCACAGACAGCATAAGGTTTATTCGAAGTTTTTCTTCATCAGTAGATTATTATTATTATTATTATCTTCATCAGGTTGGCAAGCAGTGTTATATCAGAAATCTCTTAACTCCTCCAACTCCAATGGCAACTGCAACTGGCTGGCCCCAACTTTCTCCAAATCCAACTAACTTTGGCCCACGTGGGCACTTGTATTCATGGGTGTTCCTTTCAACTGGTGTGGTGCGGGTGAATAGGTGGGTTTTATACAAATTTCCCAAAATTCAACCAGTCGTTTTCTTTCATTTTCTATTTCACATTTTGGAAGATCCCCTCCTCCTTTGGGAGGAGCCATTACATGATATCAGTAATTTTTTCTCAGGGATATTTTGGCTGAGAATTTTCTCAGTCAAGCCGGACATCTCTCAACAGCTGACCTTAACCTCTGGCCACTGATCTTGCACCTGTTTGACGAACTGCAATGTTTAACTTTTTCAACAAAATTCATACATCTATTCCCATATCCTGGGAAAATAATTCTCTTTCTGACAAAAATTTTAAATCGTTTTGTTTTAACCCTTTTCATCCATATGCCATGTTAAATGTTACAGGAAGACCAACAATAAGAAAATAATCAGTGGAACTTCAGTTCACAAATTTAATTCATTCTTGAAGCCTGTTCGTAAACCAAGACTGTTTTTACAATAGGAATCAATATAAAATGGATTAACCCATTCCTGATCCCAAGATGATTGCTTATTTAAACTTTATATGCAAAACTAAGGAAAATTATTAAATCTAAGGAAAAAACAAAAAAAAACCCAATACTAATCAGGTAAAATAGACAAACACTTCAATTCACCATATCTGTATGTAGGAGAGTTGATGGCGGAAGGGGAAGGAAAAAGATGTTATTGTTTGAAAAAGGGAAGGAAAGACCTGATCGTCTCTATAAGAATAATATAGATCATTGCTTTTGCCATATGAAACTGAGTAAGAAGAGACAATATCATCAACAATTGTTTTTCTCTTAACTTTTTTTCCTTTGCTAGTATCACTGCTAGCTTTCTTTAAGGCCATGACTGAGGACTAATGAAGTGATTAAAATGGCACAGTACAATAAAATTGGAAAAGAAGAGTACAGCACAACACAGCGGTCGACTAAGAAATGATTCCATTTAGGTTAATTCGGTTCGGCAATGTTGTTCGAGAACAAAAATTGTTTGATAACCGAGGCATTTTCATCCCAAATATTCTGTTCAACATGCGAGACATTTGAGAATAGAGGTTGCACTGTATTAAGAAACATAGTTTTATGTCAAAGATGTCCAATGAAAAATACCAAAAGTTTCCTTAAGATGAATTCCAACTGAGAAGAGAATGTGAGAGAAGCCAAAACTACCCGGTAGTGAACATAGGTCATGGAACTGAAAAAAAATGGTTCAGTCATGTGGTGAGAAACAGGTTAAAGCTTCAGACATATCAGTAGAAGGATATGATTGCGGTCTTATCTTTCTTCTGACCAAGATATAGCATAATATTTAAAGAATGCTAGCAATAATAAACTGGATATCCTTTATACTTTTGTAACTTTATATAACCCTTCAATATAAATTTTCTTTTGTTGAAAAGCAATACACAAGTAAGGTCTTTGCATTTCAAAATAAATAAAAATAAAATAAGAGTGGAGAGTTGAAAGTCCTGAAGCAGAAGGCAATCCTGAGTAAGTACCAAAAAGACATGAGGGATCATAAAAGGAGTAAATAATGCTAAGCGCAACAAATCATGATGCTGTGGAGAACCATGATCATTCATGTACTAAAGACAGATCACAGAAAAAAAAAAATCCATCCTAATTTAACCGACAAGTATTTTTTTTTTTTTTTTTTTTAAAAAACGTACAATGTGTTTTTTTTTTTTTTTTTTTAGTAATTCTCAGAAAGTGAAGAGTAAAAAGTGATGGAAGGTGGAAATGGTAATTCAGAAATACAAGATTGAATTCAAATTGTACCAGATAAAAATCAGGATGTTTTTTCTTCTTTCCGTTATTAACTGAAGAGGGGGGGAAATGAAGGTAATTTGTGTTATGAACCCTGTTTTCATTAATTCTAAAAAAAAAAAAAAAAAAATGAAAAATGTAAGGATCCAATTCAAAGATACAGCCATATATTTTGTAATTTTCAAAATACAAAATCATTATCTCACTTTTCTGGTGTGGTGTACTTTTGAGCAATTAAGTATTCTGCTGCTGCTTGAAAGTCATCAAAAACATTTTGCTTCTTGCTATGAGTTCCACTTTTGTGCCAAGTTTCACCATATTCACTGAAAGAAAAAAAATGGAAGTGAAAAAATAAAAATTTAAGATAAAACAGATTTTAATGAAATAAAATAAAAAAAAAAAAAAAAAAAAAAAAAGGTAAATGAGAAAAAAGAAAAAAGAAAAGAGTGATGTCATAAAAATAAAATTGAACATATGTTCAAACACATGAAAAAATTATTCGGTAAAACCAGCTTCAGCTTCCAGATGGCAGCAAATATAAATAAAATTGCAAATACAATATTTGATTTGTTTTTTTTATGGATTATCAACCCTTTGCAGTTTATTTAAAGCCAGAAAATATTTTTAGATTGTAAGAATTTTTTTTGAGAGAGATAATGATGATTTAGTGATACTAATTCATACTTTTCTCAAGTGTATTTGCAAATTTAGAGAAAAGAGTCTTTGGTTTCAGGGATAGATAAAAACTGAGGTCAGTTTGAGGGAGCTTCATGAAACATTACATACAAGATTGAATGTGATTGATGAATGTATCACCATAATGGAACATTGGTCAACTTAGAGACCCAATTTAAACATCAAGCAAATAGGGTCAGAACTAAGAAAGTTTATTAAAAGAATTTATGCAATCTCATATTTGCAAAGATACTGAAGGATTTATATGCATTGATTCTCAAGCATATTGAAGCAATTATTTCAGCTAAGCTACATCAAACGTATCATAACATTTTTATATCTGTCTTAAAACAATGCATCTGGCTTTATGATGGCTAAAAAAGTTGTGTATGGTAATTTTTGAAGTGGTCTGACATCTCTCATTCAGAAAGCCTGCTGCAAGACAATTAGATTTGCAAACCACTCAGAAAAGGAAAATATTTTCCCACCATATCAAACATTTACTTCTGAGATAAGTGCTGAAAAGTTTTCACCCCATGTATGAAGCCTGAGGTTTCATCATTAGTTTGGGCTATGTTTAGGACAGCCACAGATTGAGATAAAATCTCACACCTTGATCCTAAGTGTTTCAGGTTCTATGGCTGGGGGAGAGCCTTTGAAGTCAGGTCTTCTAAAGAGCACACACTTTATCAAAGAGGAAAAAAAGTATGAATAAATGAGAACTTTTGTGGTCAAGTGACAGCAAAACTGTTATTGATGATTTCCAGTTTCTGGTCTATATTAACAGTTTCAGATGGGATTGGAATGATCAGTTCTGGTTCGCTCTTGGCAAGGTACAGGCTGTTCCTTGGGTAGTTCCAATGCCACCTGTTTGTGTTGCCAGCTACATGTTGAGATGGTCAGAGTTGATAGGAGGAAGAGTTGAAAGAAAGAGCTGATCCAATAGCCCAACATGGCAGATGCCCCAAAGTGTCACTTACCTACACACCCAGAACAAATCTGAATACAACACCTAAATATATTGGAAACCAGTTTCAAGTTCTCATTTTTCACCATGGCATGTTTTCATCTTTCCTTGTGAACATGCAACAGGCATTTCCCAATTTTTGGCACATACCAATGTAAATAAGAATGGAGAAGAAATGTGAAATAATCATTGGTCAGTTGGTGGAAAGCTGGATGAAGACCCTATTGTATCTAAAATAATTTAGCATGGCTGAAGACTATATGGAACTGTATTAATTCAAAATCTCATTCTATACAGAAAGAATAATTTATAATGATTATAGCAGACAACATATATCTGTGTAATAGTAAGATTAGAGCTTATAAAAATTTTAATTTTGTCATTCAGCTTTTCTAACCAATCAGAAAAGAGAAATTGTTGTCCAATCAACAAGCAATTCATCGAAAATCCTTACTGGAGACTATAAAACTCAAGATTCAGCTTCATTTTTCAGTAATTGGTTTGTTTTCATTTAAGATTAGACAATATTATTTAAATCAATTTATTCATTTTTGTATCTTACACTTTTGATGTTTTTAAATTTCTACTAAATTCAGTTTTTAACTCAACATTGTTAAGCATACTTTTCAGGCATTTATGCCTACTGATCACCAAAATATCTTTTTATACACATCAGCTCATCTGCTGCTGTAGCCTTTTCTCTCTCTCACACACACACAGCTCTGATATGCAAAAACTATTTTGGAACACAAATGGATGGGAAGGGGTAGTGGGACCCCAGCCAGTATCCATATAATGAATCAGACAGTGAGTGAAAGGGCAGTCAGTGAGTGTGTAGGGCTTCGTTTTTTATGGCCAGGACATAGTGAGAAGTCAGATAAAAGAAGTTCACTTTATCATAGCAGAAGGAAGGCATTGCCAATTAACTGAGAAATCATGTTTTTTGCAACTTCCTGACTCGGGTGTCTTGAAATGCAATTGACGCTATTGTTTTCTTGATGGTGATCACAACCATAATCAAGATGAATCTGTGGAACATAGCAAGCACAGGTATATTTGCATGCAGCCGACCTTGGATGTCATCACAGCTTGTACAATGATGTGCAGAATCGCATTATCACAGTTGCATACTAAATCAAGTTTTAAATCCCAATCAAAAGTAATGAGCTCTTTTGTTCAATATTTTCAAATTTCTTCTTCAATATTATAGCAAGTAATGAAAGCCATTCCTCAGCTGGAACCATTATTTCATTTAAAATAGAGACTTCAGAAGCCCCAATGAGTTCTACTTAATAGACAAACTACTGCCAAGAGTATTAAAGGGATTGAGTTTGTGTGCAGACAGCAAAGCAAATATCAGGATGAGGAGTTTTAGTTGCAAGCAACAAAAGGTGGAAGTAAGATTGAGAAAAATGTGCCAACTAGGAAAAATGGGGGTGGAAAATAAATTGTTTTTGTGCAGAAAATTCTAACTGTACACCTGGTGAATTAACATTTCTCTGAATTAGCCACATCTCTAACAACTAAGATTAGTAAGCAGGTTTGAAGGATTTTCAGTAGTTTTTACCCTCTACCTCAATTCCTTGAAACAAAATTGATAATTGAAACTTACCCTCCACCTCGGATGTTAGCAACTGCAAATAATCCACCCAAATCTTTAAGGAAAACTAGTCTGGAAACACTGAATGTCGGTTTGATGGAAATTTCAAAGCCTCCATAGCCATAAAGGTAAGTTGGATTTTTGCCATCCAGAACCACACCCTACCAAAAAAAGAAAAAAGTCATGCCAAACTTATTTTGACAATTTTTTTTTTTTGCTACTAAAAAGTAATATTAGTAACATCTGAAATATACTATTTATATACTGATAAACTATTTTATATTAGCCTTAACCTGCAATAAAAAGTATATTGTTTTGAAAATTAATATTTACCAGTGCTAAAGAATAAAAATTAAAGTAGTTACATTATGAACTTCATTTTTTTTTTTAAATCCCAACACTGTGTTGATACACTGTCTGACTATTAGTGCAAACAGTGCACAATCAGAAAGGGAAAAAAAGAGTTCTAACAAAACTTGAAATCACACTCAACACACTGAAAACCTTTATGAATATTTATTCTTCAGCTGCAGAAACTTCATTGATTAAGTGAAATACAATCTGCAATCATCCTCACATCTAATTTTCTCTAATTCTCTATTCTAGTTAAAAATTTAAATTGTTTCTTTTTTGTTTAGATGAAGCATTTTCATTCTTACTTTTATTACTAATTTTATTCCATATTATTGAAAATACATTTAAAAAGCAAAATTATAAAAAAAAAAAAAAAACATTTTCACAAAAAATAAATTAAGACAGGTGCAAGCGTGTGTAGATTAAAAAAAAAATATTAACTCACCTTTTTGTGCACCAGAAACATAGGAATTTTAGTTCCATCTTTGCTTGGGTAAAAAATCTGTTTGATTTCAAACTGGCTAAAGTCAAAATTGCTCACTTTAATCAGACGATAAACCTGAAAAGAATGGTAAATACAGTTGAAATTTTCATATTTGACATTTTTATTACTTCAAACTTTATATTGAATTCTAGTGTTTTAACAAATTTTTAGGAAAAAAAAAAAAAAAAAAAAAAAAAAAAAGGGGGGGAATATTATGTCTATCAGAGTGCACACTCAAGAAAATTTAAGAAAAATGCATTCGCCAGCAAATAAAATTTGCAATAATAAAAAAATATCTAAATCCATTAATTCTTTAGAAATTGCTTTGTTTACATTTCAGATACAAAACTGAGCAGATGTGGCTTTCGAGAAAAATCTGAACAAGTAGATGTGCATTTCATTGAATGGGTAAATAGAACCTTCAGGGCAGTGATGCTCTCTGTAGCTGAGGGGTTTAAAGCACACTGGATTAGACAGTGGGTTCTCCTACAAAGGAGTGGACATAAGTTTGTACCTTACCAGATAGCACATGTTCTTTAAGTTTTTCTCTTCCTGCTTAGAAACAGTTTTTATTATGGAGAAATATTTAGTAACTAGTATAGCTCCACTGTTTAAAAAAAAAAAAAAAAAAAAAAAAAAATGACTATGTAATTTTGAAAGTGTATTGTCCATGCCTTTCTACATGAATAATGTAGTATTTTTAGATATACAATTAACTGTCACAAATAATTATATCTAAACCAATATCCATAGAAAGCTGACAAAGCAAAAAGCAATGTATAAGCAACCTGATCTCCCCACTTACCAAGATATTCTGTTGTTATAGTAACAAGAGGCATTTTTATTTATTGACATCAGGTAATACCTACTTATCACAAAAACAGAATGTCTTTAAATACAGGAGATCAGGTTGCATAACCAATAAAGTCATTCTGTGTTTTATATCAAAACTGCTGAGTTTAAATAAAATTAGCCATACTCATTACTAATCCAAAAGTTTCTCAACTGCTAATTCAGGACCATAATTACTTTTGTTCATATCCAAATATCTGACCGTTCAATAATTTTTAGCAACTAAAATTTATTTAAAAAAAAAAAAAAAAAAAAAAAAAAAGAAGAGAGCAAAAAGCAAGCAAACCACAAAACTTTCTATACACAAGGTGAGGATAAAACTTACTCACCTCTGGTGTAGGATCATCAACACTCAAGTCCACTCGATAGATGACACCAGGAGTGAGAAAAGACATAAAATGAATGAATATCTGAAATAAGAAAGAAAAAGGACAGAGATTGAATATATGTTGGGATGTTATTAAAAACAAGTTTATAGAAACAGTTAAAAGTAAATTTTCATAGCTCAAAAAAATGTATTGCAATATTTTACAAGAAAAGGGCACAAAGTTGTAAAAAGTGAAAAATACTTTTGTATATTTAAAGGCATGTTTTAGAGCTGTTTTTTGTTGTGCCGCCCAAAATTGCTTAGATTAGGCTAGGATTGAATAAAAGACAGGTTATAATTAAGAGTTGGATGACCAAAAACGACAAAACTTGTTTTACATAGAAAAACTTCTATAAAACATGTCAAGGGTAGCCAAGTGATATTTTATTTTCTTAATGATCTAACAGACATGCTAATTACATAATTTCTGTACATAATAAAAAAAATGTAATTTTCTCTCAAAGGTTTTCTAGCTAATTGGATTTTCTTAAAAGATTACATTTCTCAAGTATCAAAATGGTTTATTAAATGTTTCTGAAGTGTTCAATAAAAAATAATAAAAGAAAGAATTTTCAAACATGAAAATTTTTTTTCAGATTTACCCCCACCACATATTCATATTCTAATTTCAATATGTCCAATTGAAGTTCCAAGTAAAATTTCAACAGATTTAATTTCTCTAGGAATTTATACAAATATAAATATTTCACTATTTATATTATTTGGACTATTGTCATCTTTATTGCCATATTTATTAAAACGTTTCAGTCATTGTATGCTCTGGCCTTCTTCAGGTGGTTGAAATGTCGAACTGAACTCTTTATTTCACTCACTGGGGTAGACCGTTCTAGTTCCACGGCCATGTTTTCAATGGCTGTCAGTTATCTCCTGTTAATTCCCCTCTCTAAGTTCTCCACTGCCTTAACTGGGTATTGAACTTAGAAAGGGGAATCTCAAACTGAACTCTTTATTTTATCTACAGTAGGGTAGATTGTTCTTGTTCCACTTGTGCATGTCCAAGGATATTGAATCTTGTTTCTATTCGGTACTGCTCAGTTATTGCTCACCCCATTTCCACTGAGTACAAGTACACACTGTCTGACCCAGGGATTGTCTATGGTTAGATGACCACCTGTGGACATGTGTGTGTATGTATACATGAGAAAAAAAACCCTTTGGACAGATAAGATATATAAACAATCATTCCAGAGAGGAGTTGAGCAGTCTCTCATACATCAGAGATAAGAATGTAAGGTTCATGTATTGGATAAAAGGTCTGTGGAGCTGCACCACAGACTAGCCAAGAGTAACAGATGAAGTACTGAAGTGAAATAAAATGTCAAATATGAAAGATTAAAGTCTCAGATTATTATTAAGCCAACATCCACATTTCATTACACTTGCTGTATAAAAAGTTAATGTGATAAAAGGCTTAAAAAAAAAAAAAAAAAAAAAAAAAAAAAAAAAATACAAATATTCCATCAAAACCATGTAGACCAGGACCTGGTGTAAAGTTAAATAAAAAATTCATAGCCCAGTGTTTTATGTCAGAGTCTGGACTAAACCGTTTGTGGTATAATCTCAAACAAAATGAAATAACATGCTGGAAATGATTCACATTGGTGATCTGTAATTCATTAAGCATCTGCAAATTTTGCAGAGGATTAGTTTAAAAAAAAAAAAAAAAAAAAAAAAAAAAAAATCATCAGTCTAACGCTGCAAATAAAAAAACAGTTATGACAACCAACTTTTAGTACATGCACTATCTTAGACTTTGCAATGCTGGTGTTTGGTTATAGAGCCATCTGGGAATCCCCAGGTCAATACATAACAAAAGTTTGTGATGAAAAGTTCTTAGCCTAGCCAATTTCCCAAAATCTAAATAAGGATCAGAATTTGTTTTTTTTTTAGTCTCTCAATAAAAGAATATTAAAATGAAGAGGGTTTTGTCAATTCTTCCAACATCAGACCAATAAGAGCGTTTTTTAAAAGTTATTTTGCTTAGTCAGAAGAGAGAAGACTAATTTGCAGATAAATGTTAATCTTAAAAACAAAATATTGCCATAAAAAAAGTAACAATATAAACTTGCCTCTTTGTTTTTCTTCTTACCAGAGCAGCCAATCACAGTTCCAATGTCCAATGGGATTTCTTTAATTAGTTTCCCAGTTTCCAAACTATGAACATACATTTTATTCTAGATAAACAAAAATAAAACAATCTTAAAAGCTTATATATTTGTTATTCATAAAAGCATATTCATATATTAATTTTTTTTCCCCAAAACATGATCACCATGGCTACATTGCATGGGTGTAACAGAGTAATGAACTGAAGACACAAGGCACCATTTTATATGAATAGTTTGAGATTGGTCCTGTAGCAAAGAGTACATGTTCATGATTTTTTTTTCAGCTAAAAATTCAAGCAGTTATTCAATTTTTTTTTTATTTATTTTTTTACAGCAAGGTTCACCTTGTACAAGGTCCGGGGGAGGGGAGCCTTGCAGTAGATGGTTACATAAGGGTTAGTTTATGTGGATAAGAGGGTAAAGATAACAGTTAATACTAGACTTGAACAGGTTAAGATTGTAGTGATTGGGGAAAGATCCTCTTGGGAGTTTGTTCCACAGAGCAGTGGCCCACAAGAAACTTCTCACTGATGGAATACAAAGGGAATGTGGGTGGTTTGCTACAATGTAAGTGGCATGAGGCGGGTCCTAACCGTGAAGGTAAGGAATGTAGTTCATTCAAGCATTCCCATGGATGTGGCAAGTCCCTTACTGTTCATAGGTCTATCACTACGATAGAACAGCGAGAAGCTCACCACATCCCACCTGTGAGAGAGAGGTTGAAGGGTGGAAAATGATTCTTCAACAAGGACTAGGAGATTTTAGCATTCTGCTACCACTTTCTTTCAATGTCAATTTTTGTACAAAAAGTGGATCACAGAGCCTTATTTTTCTCATTTCTCAGTTAATATTAAAATCATGTTCGCACCTACACGCTATTCAAAACCTATTTTTCTGCCAAAAATCAGAAATGTTCTCCGGAACTTACCACGCGATTACGTTTATTATAAATACTTTGACAAGTTTGTTCTTGCTCTTTTAATTTCTCTTGCCTACCAAGAATGTAGGACTTTAAGAAAAAAACGTTTCGACCAAATTTGGGCAAAAGCTATGAAACACCATCACACACACACATGTACAGAATATTACAAGCAGCAGAAACTTAATTACAAATATTATGGAACATTCACTCTTTCAACTCTACTGAAGCTAAAAATTTATCAACATATTCTCAGCTTTACTGAATTCTTTCAACTCTCCCATGGTGAACATTTTGAGCGGGAATTCAACTATTCAATATTTCATGAACTGAAATCTTTTACTGTGAGCTCAGATAAAAATGTTTCCTTAGTAAAGACTAATTCCAGTGTAAGGGAAGTAACTCCTATTAAATTATGCTTGTATATCATTTTTTGTATATCATGTTTTGTGTTTCTTCTTATCGTTTCATATTTTGTGGTATTTTGCGTAAATATAAATTTGAGAGGTCACGTCAGCAAACAGACTTCTACAAGATGCTTTTGAACTTTATAAAAACTGGAAAGTGAGAACTGGGCGGCTCCCATCCATTTTAATCAATTAACAAAAAAAAAAAAAATGCAAAAAAATAATGAAATTCATAGCAATTTAAATTTTTGGATGAAACAAACGTGCTATATTATTTTATTGGTATTACTAAATATTATTAGATAAGAGAATAGATATCACACATGTTAGCACTTTGAAATTTATATAATTTGGCTACAGCATTTCATAATCATTCAGAAATAACCTTTTTGCTTTGACATAAAACATTGGAAACATTTTTTTTGTTGTTTATCAAATACATTTCAATTTTATTAGTGTTGTCCTCCCTATATGAAGAGTTTCTAACAAAATAAGGATTTTCAGGCATTATGTAATGCATGTGTACACAAAAGAGTGACAAGACTTTGCTTTCTGATGTTAGATTGATACATTATCTATACAGGGATCAGGATTTAAAAAGAAATTAAGAACCTTTTTCTATTATATTACAAGGTTTTCTAAACCGTTTTCATATTTTTATCTTCAGCAAAGCAATAACATTGCAATAAGAATGAGAAAACCTTTTCCCATTGATACTAAGCACAAAAACTGTTAAATACATACTAATATACAAGTAATTAGTAGTAGAAGATAGGTGAACCTATCACCCAGTTCACACTCCTCTCTGGTCTTCTGAACAGCAGCAGAGGTTTATCTCTTGTTTAGAATTGAGTTTCCAGTTCCTTTTAAAGTCTTCTCATTCTCTTTCACGCCCAGTAGCCCTTTGCTTCTTAGTGGCTTTATCACCTTGTTTGGGGTGAATTGATTAAAAGTACTAATATGATAGGAAACATGTAATAAACAAGGATAGTACATTTGAAAGTAAATATAAAAAATATATGCAAATGTTATCTGAATTTCCAAGATGGAGTATCTCATAATAGGATAGATAATAGCTATTAATACTTACTTTGACATCCTTCAGATAACAGAGGACAAGTTTATTTTTGTTGACACATGAGACCCATTCAAGGACAGCATTTTCGTCTTCCTCTATAAGAGTTTGCCAGTTTTCCTGAAGAGAAAAACAGAAAAAATAATTATAATAAAAATAAAATTAATATCCTCTCACAAACACAAAAGCTAGCTTTAGTTATATTGAATAAGGATCATATAATTGTTTGTTCCCCTTAGACTTCTTTAGTTAACACATAAATTACAATCTTTCAATGTTATAAATAATGGATTATTCCACTTTGATTGTATGGAAAGATAAAAAAAAGACCTATCAGAGACTACTTGGTTTCAGTGAGAAAAGGGAAGAAAGAGGCTATAAAACTTGTTTGACAGCCGTTTCAGTGAAATGGGAAAGTTGCCAGTTTCAAATCTTCCCAAATAATGACTTCTTTAATGACTAGCATTTATTTATATATATATATATATATATATATATATATATATATAATTGCAATATTTTAAGCTCAAATATTTAACAATATATAGGGAATTTCTACAGATTTTTTTGTCATAAAACTTGCTATGAGCTTATTCAATCGTTAACTTAAAAAACTTAAGAGTCATCATGAAATTCAAATAGGAAAACTGAAATTTTTACAGGTATATTTAGTTATTGATTAAAGTATTTATTGAACCATTGTTCTCATCTTTAGATGTCATTATAGACGCAACATACAAAATTGATATTTTGTAGTCTAATAACACAGCCAATTCTCGTTCAAATGATCTCAAATTTAAAAAAAAAAAAAAAAATGTAAAAATTAAATTGACAGTACGGACATACCTCAGTGAGAATCTACCAGGAAGACAGATCAGGCATGCCAGTGATAAATACAATATGCTGTTGAAATGGCCACCATGTTCATCTGAACTGACACTTATATATATATATATATATATATATATATATATATATAAAGGACGGGTCTATACCCCCTACCTCATCCTACAAGCTGAGGGGAACTTAAGCAGAAGTTCACTGAGGTGCTAGTGAATGTAACACAAGACATGCTATGGCGTGTTTGGCAGGAGCAGAACTACCAACTTGACATGTGTCACATCACAGGTGATGCGCATATTGAACATTTGTGATATCCTTTATAAAATCTACATCCCCTAGAATATCTTGTTCAAATTTTGATAAATCTTTTATTGTTCAATATGAAGCCAATTTAATTTCATTCGACATGTAGTTACACATATTAATATTTTAAATGTCAATTTTTTTTTTTGGGGGGGGTCATATATATATATATATATATATATATATATATTAGTAAAAATGTATGACAAAATGGAAAAGTTTTTCTTGTGACATTATGTAATATGTGTATATTAAAGCTGTTTGCAAATTAAATGTGAGCAAATGACCAAACAATGTTTCATTTGGGTTTTTTTTTTTTTTTTTAATTCCTTCTTGGTAGACTAAGAACTTCAGATATTCACATTTAAATTATGTCAATTTTTAGGTGGAGACACTCTGTATATTGGCTATCTCAAAAATAAACAAAATGATTTTCTTTATTTTTTGATTATTAAAAAAGATTATTAAATAACATTTCAAGTATGATTAAGAAAGTTATAAAACACGCTTTAAGCATTTATTTATTTATTTTTTTTTTTTTTTACAATTTTCACTATGATTACATATAAGTATGCAATTTAACAAAAAAATTCTTTGCTTTATTTTACAGTCTTAATTTTTATGTTGCATTTTCAAATTCTACTTTCTAATGATATAAACTTTATGAAAATTAACATTATATAATGTTTTTTTATTTTTGGTTTTTTTTTTTTTTTGGTTTTTTAAGTGACAAGAATCTTATGGATGCTTTTCTGCCAAGACAACTGTCTTACACACACAGATTTCAGTGTAAGCCAGACTAGGAATTTCCTGATGAACATATTTCTGCATCATTAATTTTTTTACTAGCATTTACTTTCAATTAATATGACCATAAAAGAAATTAATAATGATTGATAATACTTCATCTAACAAAAATAAAATAATATTCTTAGTGTAAAAAACAAGAATATGGCACTGATAAAGATCAAGGAATGAAGAGATGGATTTGGAAATTACTAGCCAAAAATTAATAACGGTGGACAATTCTTCATCTAATAAAAAAATATTTCCTAAGGTATTAAAACAAGAAATGGTATAACTCAATTATGTAAAAAACTGTTTGAGCAAAATTGCTTTTGTATTTTTAATCAAAGCTTTCATTCATAAAATTTAACCTTCAGCTTTTATATGTTAATATGTGGCATAGTATCTTCATTAAGATAAAACTCATTTTCATTTATACTCACCTGTTCAGGTTTGTTAAAATCAATGTTGATCACTTTATATTTGGGGGCATTCAAATTTGTGAGGAATGTAAATACAGTACCTTCATTTGTAATATACTGGAAATAGAAAAAAAAAGCAGGAATTTCATTAAAATAACAAGAAAAAGATCTTAACAAAATATATGTGGCATTGTAAGCAGTTTATCCAAGGTGTTTTGTTACAGAAATTAAATAAGGATTCCCCATTTTACTTTCTACAAGAGTACCTCCTAAATATTTCATTCTGGAGTAAAAATAAAAAATAGTTTGTTCTTTACTCTCACTTTTTAAAGAGGGGCCTCCTCATCAATCAAGTGAAAGCCAAAAAAGAAAATAAATTTTTCTACTTTTGCTTAAGCTCTTTTTCTTAATCAGCACTTCAATTTTTTTTTTCTTTAAATCTTATTTGTTCACTGAATAAACCTCTGCTAAAACCTTGTCAATACACAAATAAGGAAAGCTAAGTTTAATTTTTGCCTAAATAGATTTATTAAAAGAATGCACCAAGAGGTGTTAGACTATAACTTCATTTTGAACTAAGAAAAGACAGAAAGCTACTAAAATCTATGAGAATAATTCGAGAGTAAAGGTTTCCAGTCAGGATTAATTTAACTGTTTTATGGCCTATCAGTTGTATGGCTTTAATCCACAAAATTAACATAGGGTTATAATTGTTTCAAGTTTATTATCAGTTGATTTATATACGAGCACATTTCTTCTACTTTGAATTGTTGAAATTGATTATTTCTTCACAAATATTTATTCCTATTCAAATTATTATTACAAGCACACAAACTGTTCTCTTCAAAAGTTTGAGAAATTTGCCAATTCATATTTTTGTAGTCTTCTCTTAAAATATTTTCAATTTTTACTCTATTATTTTCTTATAAAAATTTAGTAGAAAATTTTATTTAAAACAAATGTTTTTTTTTTTTAGTTTTGTTTAGCAGCATATCAACTCCTTATAGGTCATTTAATTTTCTTGAGAGCATTAGTAATTTCTTTTACAAAAATGTATTGCTGGTAATACATATATATTTTTTTTTTTCTATGAAAATGCACCACTGGTATTTTTATAGGTTTCACAGTATCCTGGGGGTAACTATTTGTTGGGACCCTAACATGTTCTACCGCCCTGGGTGATGAAACCTGGGAACAGCAGCAAATAAGATGTGGTTCCATGTTCCTCAAAACCTCCAATCTCCCGATCAGAGGCCTTGCTGCCAGATGTAGTTTGTCATATCCAGGATTAAAACAAACTTTTGATAAAATGAAATGTATTTTTGTAAATAGTAACAAAGAACATTTAGCAGGCATATTTATCACACTATCAATAAATACCCATAAGAGTGGGCTGTGTGTGACAAAATATTTAGTAAACCAACCTTCCTGCTACCATCATTTCTACCAATTAGATATTGTCAGGCAGTATAAAAATTTTTTTTTTACTGCATCGAGTGCTTTTTCATTAATTTAACTGTTCTTTTGACAAAAGTATATATTTTTTTAATTTTCATATATATATATATATATATATATATATATATATATATATATATATATATATATATGTGTGTGTGTGTGTGTGTGTGTGTATATATATATATATAAAATATTCAAAATTTTCGTCAATGGAGTTCCTTGACCCCTTTCACCTTCCCAATCAGGCAATCACCAGGCGCTCCCCTGACAGCCTCCCCTTGTCGCATTTCAGCTCTTATCTAAAGAAATTTCTTCTTTTCAGCGATTCACACCACCCCTTCCTTTTTTGACACGGGATAAGTGACTGAAATAGCTAGATAAAACCATTCTATTCTAATAGTTAAAACCTAAACATGGGGAAAGTGAATTTATACATATTTTTTTGTTCTTGATAATTTACAACACTTTATTAGATTGCTTACTTACAAGGATAATTTTATATTTAGAACATTCTAAAAACTAATACAATTGTATTAAGGCTAATGCAATAAATATCATTTACCAATTTATAAAGGAATATATATATATATATATATATATATATATATATATATATATATATATATAGGGAAAACAATTCTTTATTCCTAACTTTACTAAATTATATGTGAACAGACTATAAGGAAATCCTTATTTACCATTTTATAAAGTTTGAATAAATTGCTAATTAGGTGATGTTTTGCCAACCATTCCAAGATAATAGTGTAAATAAACAATCTAATAGTGTTTATTAAAATTCAAGAACAAAGAAAATGTATAAATTTCCTTTTATATGTTTAAGTTTTATTAAAATTCTGATCATCACTTAAAACAATAAACATTGCCAAAGAGTGATGGTAGTTAAAATAAAAGCAGTGTCATAAGAAAAAAAAAAAAAATCATCCTTTTGACACTATTTTTTTTTGCAGGCACGAAAGTTCATGTTTGTCACAAAGTCATAGGAAAAAGATTAGATATTATTGAAATTGACCAAGTAGGCCTGTATATGTATTAACTCTTTCACATCCAGATCCAATATTTATAAATAAATAAAATATTCTTTATATATAATTACAAAGCTTTCTAAAAAAATGGCTGGATGAAATTAATAAAAAAAAACTTTATTTTTATTGATAGCAATAACAATTGTGATAATGACCAGAGATGGTCAAATAAATTAACTTTGGATAAATATGAATTTGATCAGGATATATTGAGAGTCATAAAAAATAGAGAAATATTAATAAAATCATTAAACTTCTTACCAGTCAATTTCAATAGAACAGATTTGAATGAATTTTTGCTTCCAAAGTATCCATTATATATTTGTTTTGTTGACAGAAGAATAATTTGTAGGGATAATATCCAAATATTCAGACTGAACATGAAAGAAATGCGTTTTCAGAGAATTCTTCTATGTGCCATATCCTTTCAGGACAGAGACGATCATTGCCCTCCATAATTTCCTGTTCTTTGTAGTTTTTAATAAATTGTCTTTTTGCTATTTTTAGAACCTTGTTCCACCATCTATATACTAAAGCTATGTAATGCATTGTTTTCCTCTGTTCCCCTTGCCTTCAACTTGTCCTGTGAGTATCAGATATCCCAAGCCCCCTTTCCTCATGATGTGCCCTAGAAATTTCAACTGTCTCTTTCTGAGGTTAAGAAAGAGTCTCCTTTTTGCTTCTATTTTCTCTAAAACTTTATCGTTGCTACATGTTTGGTCTATGGTATCCTCAGCACCCACCTATAGAACCACATTTCTGCTCCCTTAAGTTGCCTTTTCATCTGTGAAAAACTTGTCCAGCATTCACTGCCATACAGGAGGACTGATATTACATAACAGTTCAGTAAGTTTTTCTTTCTACCAAAATTTTTATTCAATATTTTGCTTAGTTTTGGAATGCACCTTTAGCTATCCCAAGTGCCTTGTTTTAAAAAAAAAACAAAAAAACATTCAAACTTTATCAATAATTAGACTTCTGGTAGATTCCATTTTGGCATTACAAAAAGAAAAACAAATGGTCTATTACTGAAGAGTATTAATACATTCAGTTATCTGTAAAAAAAAAAAAAAAAAAGCATAGGTTGAAGGGTCACTTGTTCATAACTGATACCATTTACACTGCTTGGCAATACAAGTTTACACTAGAATAAACACTTTAATATGATGAAAGCATTTTATAGGTTAGTCCCAGGCCAATACTTTATGGATTCCCAAGAGAATGCTTCCCCAAACAACAATCTTAACCTCTATGATCAACTGTTACCTATTGTACATATCCTCATAATCTGCATTTACTTCCTTTCCCTCTCTTAAGTCTATACAACTTCATTTAGTAACCTACTTTGAATGACACTTGTGACTTGTATTGGATGAACATTAAAAAAAAAAGGGCAGGGGAGGGGGTGCTGCCAACCAAGGGATTCTGTTTTAAGATATTTTTAAGAACCATACCATATTCAGTTAGTACATTAATTTTTGCTATTTTTGTGATGTTAATAAATTTTTTTTTTTTTTTTTGCTGACACTCAACAAGCATAATTTCTAAATTTTGTAAATAACACTTTAGGGAAGATGATTTTCTGAGTAACTTTCAAAATTTTTGTCCCTTCCTTTAATCCAGACTCCAAGGAGCTACACTGTATTTGAGAAATTTATGTTGTCTTTCTACTATTAATTTAGAGTACAGAAAACAAAAAATAATTAAGATTTAAAGGAAAAAAAAAAAAAAAAAAAAAAACATCAACTTTTATAATTTGAAAGGTTTATACAAATTTTCAATGTGGTCATTGATTTTATTGAAAGATTCAAATTGTTTAAAACCGAGGAAAAGATGTTTATAATTAAAAAAGTAAATTCATCTTAAAAAGGAAAAACTTGTATTGTGACACTATTATTGGGACACTCACAGAGAAGAGGAAGATGTGAGATTTTATCTTGATATCAAGTGTTTCTGCTTGAAGGCCGGCAGATGAGGTGTTTGATGTCAGGTTTTCTAAGCAGCACCCAATTGACCGAAGGAGCTCAAAAGAACAAATAAGTAAAAAGAAGTACTTGGAGTCAAGTGACAACAAAGCCGGACATTTGGTTTGGTTCAGTTGTTTTTGTTTAGCGGTATATCAACCTCTATGGGTTATTTAATGCCAAAATCTAAATATTTTGCCATTGAGTCAGTACTTTGATGGGTGATTGTTTGAGAATACCAGGTGCTGTAAGGTTGGATCTGTGGGTGGCGTAATGGATAATGGCTCAGAATTGTTAATTGGGGAGAAGAGTTCCAATTGCAGTTGGGTTCATCATATTCACTTAAGCACAAATACAATTGAGAAAGGTATGAACCCAATTCTTACAATCTAAAAATATTTAATATACCAGGTACTATAAGTTTGGATGTGTGGGTGATGTAATGCATAATGGGTTGGAATTGTTAATCAGAGTGGAGTTTCAATTCCCATTGGGTCTGTTATGTTCACTTATGTGTAAATACCCTTGTGAAAGGTATGAATCCACCTCTTCTCCTCCCAGCAATATGTTAATTAGCAAGACGTATATCAGTAAGCTATCAAAAAAAAAAAAAAAAAAATCTTACAATCTAAAAATATTTTCTGGCTTTAAATAACCTGCAAAGCTGTAAAAATGAATATTTTATGTGCAATTTCATTTTTGGAGATCCATGCTTACAGCACCTGGTATTCCCAAGTAATCACCAGCCAGTCTTGACATTGCTTAACTTCAGTGATCATTATTTTTTCATATACATTTAATATTTTAAAATTTAGTGTAATATCTTAAAATAAGGGTGTATCTTTGCAATTACATGGTCTTAATCAAGTATCATTAGGAATTCATTTTCTTCACAACAATATTTTATAGAGCTTTCTCAATATTAAATGGGTTAATCATTTAAATCACAGAAATAAAATCTAAGGTATCATACCTCATATTGAGCGTCAAAGTTGTCCACAAGAACTGTGTAAGGCAATTTTCCTGCAACAGAAAAAAAAAAATATAGTTAAGATAATGGCTTATTTGAATAAATTTTTCCAGATTAAAAAAAATAATTCACCTATTGAATATCTACAAAAACTATGATGAAAACATTTCAGAACACAGTCTTTAAACAACGGGCAACATCAATTAAGTTTTTATTAGAAATCATTGGATATTATCAATTGCTGATTTGAAACTTTTACCAACATGTACCAACATAGCAAAGATTTTTTTTTGTTTGTATGAGTGTATATTAAAAACAAGAGATAATATAGTTATTTTTTGATTCAGTTAAATAGAACTTCTTGGAAAAAAAAAAAAAAAAAAAAAAAAAAAAAGTTTGGGACTGAATTTTTACCAGAATCTCATTGGGCAATTCTTTGCCGTTTTGAAAAAACACCATAAAGGATAATATTTTTTTACAATTTTCATAAACTGATTTCTAAAACCATTCACCTGTGATGCCATTAGGAAGTTTATCCAGTTCTACGTAAAATAGACGGTTGACTGGATCACAGCCTTCATTTGGAGAGAGCAGTAAGTATTTACCACAGTCACTAACTTCAGCACCTCTACAAGCAAAAGAAACAAAATATGACATTTTATATAGAGATGAAAATTCTAAGCAAAAATAACAAACACTTAATATTTAAATGATTTTGGAAAGTAACCTTTAAAAACTAGCATTAACTATGAACATTTAAAAATTCGCCAAATAAAAAAATTCCAACTTATACAATGCTCACAAAAATTCTAAAACAATTTTCTCAGGTATTTTAATATTAACAAGTTTCTTATTTTTAGTAAACATTTTTTTTTTTTTTTAAACTCTTTACAATTAACTTGAAATATCCCAGGAGAAATTCAGATATAGAATTACAGTAACTCAAACTTTTTTTATTAACCATAATCTAAAGTTAAACCTAATTTTTACATGTGATGACAGATTAAAAAAAAAAAAAAAAAAAAAAAAAAAAAGGATAAAAATAATAATCTTAACATTCAATTATAAAACTTGTTACAAGACCAGATTTGAACAATTAAAACAACAGTGCCAAACAAGTGAGGGCTTCAGAAAACAAGCAGGATGAAACTAAATATTGCATTATAGTTTTTTCATGGGACTATTTTTGCATGGATATATATATATATATATATATATATATATATATATATATATATATATATATATATATATATAGGTTGCCAAAAAAAATCCATTAAAGGAAACTTATTTTCCACATGAATAAGTTATTTTATTTCTCTGTTGTAAATTCAGCCAATTCTCTTCAAACTTTTTCATTTTTCTCAGCAAAGAACTAGTCAACATTACTTTTATTATTAGTCTTTCAAGGAATTTAATTTCTTTTTATTTAGAGAATTCTATAAATATTACAGTAACTGAAAATCTAAAAGGTGTGATATTAAATCAATGCACACTGAATGAGTGAAAAACTTCCCTTCTTAAAATGTGTAACAACTTTTATCTTAGGCTGCCAAAAAATTATGCAATCTTACATTATCCAAATGGAATACACTTCATCAAAACACAAATAGAGTATTTCTTTTTTTGATGCCACCATAGACAATTTCAGCCTTTGTTTGTGGATGAAGACAAGCCTTTGGTACAGTTAGTGGGGGTTCATTATGCACCCCCCCCCCACAACACACACACTTCTTTCAAGGTATACACTGGAGATTTCTTGCTCCATGGTCATTTAGACCAATTGTGACCGAGAGAAATAAAATGAACACAGAGTCAAATAATCAGCATTATCTAACATAAGATCACTTTGAAGTGTTGCTTCTACATAAATTAATAAAAAAATGATTGGACTATATTTCTGTATTTGCAATTTGCTGCTTAAAGTAATTTTTTTTAAACAGTGTATACCTTTGCAAATTACATTTGCCACAGTCAATCATCTATTGTACCTTCTCTATCAAATAGACAAGTCTTATGTTTACATTGCATTTTTACCTTTGTTATATATATATATATATATAAATAATATATATTTTATATATATATATATATATATATATATATATGGTCGGATAGATGTGAGTTTGTGACCCTGGGTTTCACGCTTTAGCGATCGTCAGACAAAATGATTAATTTTTTAAAAAATTTGGGTTTATGTAGATTGCATGTATTGGTGTTATTGTGGAAGTGGTGGGGGAAATTTTGTCGCTTATGTCATTGTACTAACGCAAATATCGATGTATGCAGCCACACACACATTATATATATATATATATACACACATTATATATATATATATATACACACACACACACACGTGTGGGTGTTTACGTGCATTTTGCTTACAAAAATTCTAATGTAAATACTAGATGTTTCTAAATTAAGCTACACATAAAAACTTTTACTAGTTTAAAATCAATCTTTCTATCTATTTTGGTACAAATGAGAAAAAAATATTGAATTGAATGACTAAATGCTATTTCAATATTTTTTTTTTTTTTTTTTTTTTTTTTACTGTAAATGAGAAAATACCATAAAAAAAATTTTTTTTTTAAATAAAATATTTCTATAATATGGTATTAATTCAAAAAATAGAATGTGCTCCTGGGTTAAAATATCTTGCAAGTGAGAAAAATAAAACACTTCTAATTTTGAGCTGAAAAACATAAGCTCAAGCTACGGTTGTAAAGGAGTTCTGGGGCAAACGGTTTCTCTGAAATTTTGGGAATGGATTTTCAGAATATGGTGTAGTAAAAAAAAAAAAAAAAAAAAAAAAAAAAAAAGAAAGTTATATTATCTATATTAAGGAGAAATTAAGATACCCAGTTTAAAATCTCATCCATACTGGGTAAAGGTGAAAAATTCAGGTAATATACACTCGACTGAACAACAACATTGGGAAGATCAACCAAAGGATGAGGTGTACAGTTTTCTGCAAATTAAAATATGTGGATCTTGGTAAAAGGGAATATTTTGCTTAAAAGGGATAGGTGAAAAAAGAAAGCACCTGAAGTTTGAAACAAACATTGTATCAGGGGTGGAGGCAAATTTTCCAGTCTTGGAATGAGAAGACATTTTGGACTTTCCCTTGCAGTTTGCATTCTGACCACAAGACTTGTTCAGTGGCCAAGAACCAGGATTGTTCTGATTATATGTATGTTGGGAGTAAGAACAGTATGAGTAAGGAAAGTAGCCATTATGTTGATATGAATACTGAGAAAATGGATAACTAGTAAAAGAGTTTGGGTATGAGGAGTATGCAGTTGACTCAACTATGAGTGAAGTTGGACGAGGTGGGTACGACACCAACCTATCTACAGAGGAAGTCTGATGAGGCAAGTATGATGCTGACCAATTTCTGGGGGTAGTCGGACGAGGTGGGTATAATGTCACCTGGCTCACGGGGTAGTCGGACGGCGGGTACAACGCCAATTCGCCCACAGAGGAAGTCTGATGAGGCAAGCATGATGCTGACTCATTTTGGGGTAGTCGGACGAGGTGGGTAATAACGCGTAACCCGTTCACGGGGTAGTCGGAATTGCCCACGGGGGTAGTCGAGGTGGGTAACACCCGCCACGGGAAGTCGACGAGGTGGGCAATAACGCCGACCGCCGGGTAGTCGGACGGTGGGTATTCACGGGGTAGTCGACGCAGGTGGGTATAACCCGCTCACGGGTAGTCCGCACGGGGTAGTCGGACGCAGGTGGGTATACCCGTTTACGGGGTAGTCGGACAGGTGGGTGGTTAACGGCTTCACGGGGGTAGTCGACCAGGTGCGCATAACGCCACCTCGCTTCACGGGGTAGTCGGACGAGGTGGGTACAACGTCAATTCGTCACGGGGTAGTCGGACGAGGTGGCATAACGCCGAATTCGCCTCACGGGGTAGTCGGACCAGGTGGGTACAACGTCACCCGCTTCCGGGGGTAGTCGACCAGGTGGGTACAACGCCGAATCCGCTCACGGGTAGTCGGACGAGGTGGGTACAACGCCGACCTGGGCTTCACGGGGTAGTCGGACGAGGTGGGTACAACGATGGAAACCGGTCACGGGGGTAGTCGGACGAGGTGGGTACAACGCCGACCCGTCTACGGGGGTAGTCGGACGAGGTGGGTACAACGCCGACCCGTCTACGGGGGTAGTCGGACGAGGTGGGTACAACACCGACCCGTCTACGGGGGTAGTCTGATAAAATGAGTATGATGAGGAATTTTGCCAAGGCAGGTATAATGCTGACCCAACTAGTGGCGAAGTTGGAGGAGACAGGTAGGATGTGGACTCAACTATGGGGGATGTCAAATGAGACATTGGAGAGGATACATTTGATACAGGCAAAGAAGGTGAGCATGAACCATTCTTATTTTTTTTATCCAAGTTTGCTCCAATTTGGGGCAAATTTGTTAAATTGGATGCTGCGTAAGAACTGCCTGACCCATAGGGACCAAAGGTGTCAGCAGTGTGATACTGGTTTAAGAATGTTCCATACGAAGAACAAGATAGATTGCTTGATGAACCATTCAAATAACCTCCATATTGTTGACAATAGGATTGACCATAGGATCCAAAGTTACACATTTGATTTGATGGCTGATAGTTGTTATAATAATCTCCATATTGGCTGTAATTTTCATTAGAGGAACTTTGTTTACTAGTGCAGAATTGCCAAGTTGAACTGAATGTACAGTTTTTGGAAGCAGTGGATTTTGACTGACTGTTTTTCAAATTTGGATGTTTTTGCTGCTTCTTCATTGTTTTTAGTACAGTTTCCTTTTGGAAATTGAAGCCTTCTTTATTTAGCAGTTTCCTGGATTTAGAAGGGGAGTAGGACAAACCGTAGAAGTTTGGCATGTGGTAATTGCTATAGGCAGGAGGAGCTGAGGCTCCATAAAAAGGGCTAAAATTACTGCCACTGGCAGCAACTGCCACAGAAGATACCATATATGAAGTTTCATACATCTGGTTAGCATTGTCGTTGGACGAAGGCAAAGAAAAATGGGGTGTAGAGGTAAATTTACCGTTTGCCACAGTTGTCTCCCTGAATGAAAAATTGAATAGAACATGAAAAATATATATATATATATATATATATATATATATATATATATATATATATATAAAAAGGCATGTTTAAAAAAAAAAAAAAAAAACAGAGACAGGATTAGTAATAATTTTGGCTTTTAATAAAGTTTGGGGGGGTGTATTTAAATGGAATGAGCTTATAGTACATAAATACATGTATAAATTATAATACATAGCTTTTTATCACTTTAACATTATTTTTGCAATGGGGTATGCATGTTCAAATCCTGTCATAGAACGCATATTTTTCTTTAAAAATACTTCTCAAAAATTCAGGCCAGTAGATGAAAATAAACAAACATACTGTTTAATAAATAAAAGTGCCTACTCAAATATGGGTATCTACTAAAAATAATGTTTAAGTGATAAAAGTACATAGCTATATAGATAATATGCCAAATTTTTTCTTTAGTGTTTACATTTAAAAAAAAATTCTTTTTTCTGCTGCTGTACATGAACGATGAAAAAAATGTATATAGGAACTTGTGTAGGACAAATGTATATTTTGCTTATATTCTAAGGAAATAGAAATATATAGAAAAAATTAGAACTAATCTCCCTACCAATGCTTCTGTAACAGTCCTACACACTGCATGATACTAGTTTACATTATCAATGTTAAATTGTTATACCATTAACGGGCATGTGGCCAAGTGGTTAAAATTTTAGCATTAGGAACACGAGACCAGAGTTCAAATCTCAGTATGGTTAATTTGTCAGTGATTTCTTGATAATAGTGGCATGGGGAGATGTCTGCAGTATGTGACATCATTGGAAAATGCCTGGAAATCATAATACTGGTTGATTCAAGCTTTGCAAGTGAAATTGGGTAGAGGAAACTGTTTGGAAGTAATTGATGATTGGGCTAGCATGAAATTACAAGTCATCATGGCCTTGTTCAGCTACTAATCAAGCTAGATTACATGCTCTCTCCCAGAAACTGTAACTAAGGTCTGTTCAGCATAGTTGCAGTATAAACCACAGGTAGATTCTGTTGGTGTTGAAGAAACAAATATGCCTGAGCAGGCGTCTGAAACAGGGATTATCTTGTCACTTTTGCAAATGAGCATACTCTGAAATGCATGGCCAGCAATTACATTAAAAGTGTTAAATTATTCTTAATATCTTGATAACAGGTCATTTTTAAACAATGGAAATAGGAGGCAAGAAAGATCCATCCATTTTTTTTTTTAAATGTTACCTGAAATCTTAAGAGGAACCATTACTACTAAATGAATTGTTTAGACAGATATTTTTTTATCCTTTTTGGTTTTATTAAAAATTTCAGTTGTATTCTTCAGCCAATCTCAGATGTATCATTCATTTGGTAGGAGGAGGCTTCTTGTGAAAGAAATACAGAATCCGAGTGTCAGAGATTCCTCCAAACAGCAACAACATTCTTTTTAGATTTAGGCATTTATTTTCTTATAGTTTAACTTTTTGTGGGTTAGTTGAAGCCGAAATAGATCTTGGATTGTAGGAGGTTGCTTACAGTACTCCAAAGTACTGACAAGGCTCATTGTTGCTTAACTTCAATGGTTGAATGAGAACCAAGAGTTAAACTAGAAAATAATTCAGTTACTAATCTTCTCAGTAACGAGACACTAGCAATACCATTTTTGGTTACAAGAGTTCTCATAGCTTTTTTTCTTGACTGAGCATTGGTACACATTTCATACTGAATTTTCTTAGCCTTTACATGATTTTGTCAAACTTACATAAACAGCCTCCTTAAAGTATTTACATTACTTGTACTATTGTCCTCATCTTTGTCGCCATATTTATTACGTTTCGGCCGTTGTATGCTCCGGCCTTCTTCAAGTGGTTGGAATGTCAAACTGAACCCTTTATTTCGCTCACTGGGGTAGACTGTTCTAGTTCCACGTGCCATGTTTAATGGATGTCAGTTACCTCCTGTTAATTTTCCCTCTGAAAGTTCTGCACTGTACCATGTGTTCTCAAGGACACATGACACAGTGGATAAAGGTGTTGGTTAGATCCAGTGACAGGACCCAAAGAGCGCAAGTTCAATACCCGGTTAAGGCAGTGGAAAACTTTCAGAGGGAAAATTAAACATGGCACGTAGAACTAAAACAGTCTACTCCAGTGAGCAAAATAAAGGGTTCAGTTTGACATTTCAACCTACCTGAAGAAGGCTGGAGCATACAACGGTTGAAACATAATAAATGTGGCGACAAAGATGGGGACAATAGTCCGAATAATGTAAATAATGTACATAATACCTCATCTCAGAAATATAAATAGAGCCTCTTTAAATTTAAATACTCATTTGTGAGATTTGTTATCTATTATTCCAATCTTATGCCAGGTAGAATTTTTTCAAAATATATTCAACCATGCTGAATTTCATAACAAGACAACCTCTCCATTGTTAAAGTTTAATATTTGGGATCACTTAGCTTCTTTCTACCACAACTGCAAAGAATATCATACACACAATTTTTGGTTAAGTTTTTCTCACACAGTTCAACTTTTCTGAGAAGGTTGTGTGTGTATATATATATATATATATATATATATATATATATATATATATTTTATAATGGAAAATATGTAAACTGTGCAGGTCCAGGATTTTCTTATAAACTATTAGGGGCACCTCAACGTGGTGTAATGGTTAGCAAGCTTGTCTCACTAGAACAATTACGACTGAGTAGAGAGTTCAATCCTCACTGGATGCCCCATACTTTCGGCCTTGTGCCACACCTAAGCTACGCTTAGAAAAATCTTATCTTCTTACTTATCTGGCACATGCCAGAGGGTATCCCCCAGATGAGGGTCTGCCGAAGGGCAGAATCTCATCCCGGGAAACTGAATCCATTATTACATGGTTTAGGGAATTTTTGCCCGAGCCCACGGGCTCGGATCCCACCCTTTAAAACTCAGCCTTGTGCCACATCTTGCTGCGTGGAGCAGCGGGTAAATAATTTCTTATGAACTATTAGAATTAGACAATCAGAATCAGTATTAGCGAAGAGAGGTTTTTATACCATTTGAATCTAGGGCAATATGAATTTAAATCAATCTTTGAAAACAGGCTTATAGAAGTGCAACCTAATTGTAAGGTAAAATTTGTACTTTTACTTATTAAACATTCTTTTCTAGATGTTTTCATTTTCCTTATAGTATTTTTACTTGATGTAAGTTACAATTCACATTACTGTGTATTACATCCAAACTAAACTACTAGAAAATTCCAAGGTGCAAACTTAAAATATGTTTGATGCTTTTGTTAAGTACAGTGTTCATTTCAACAATTATAAGTTATAGCATTCTTGATAAATATTTATAAAGCTATTTTTTGTTTTTGTAATGAGTGATATTAAAAAAAGTACTTAATTTTCCAAGCAAATTTTCATTCAATGCCTGGTCATTGTCAGATTTTCAGCTAAGAGTAGTTAAATACCACTAAAAGACCAAACTAACAATTAAATTTGGTAAGTGAAATAGGTTGTAAAAAAAAAAAAAAAAAAATGACCGTATTTTAACAGAAAATTCACAAATTTTGAAGAACAAAGGCTACATTTTGAACAAACAATTTTAGACACCTGAGACAACACTACAGTAAACTACCACATATAAATGACCTTCCCAAAACATCCCATCATGACCTACAGTCAAATAGCATGATTATACTTTTTTTAAAGTAAGTTTTAAAGTGTACACCACTTACATGCAGATTCTCATCTCTGTTGTTAGCCTGCATGTAAATAATGACAACTCCTCGTCTCAGAAATTCAGACAGAAACTATTATTAGTAATTGTCTATAAAGCAGGGTTTATTGACAACTTGAATAAAAATGTGTGACTTTGGATTTATTTAAAAAACAAAATATTCTCTTGAATTTTTCTAAGCGGTATTATTCTATGGACTAAAATTAAACTGGTTAAAAAAAGTATTTACTTACATTTTCCATTTGGGCTCATTAAGAAATTCAACTGCCAGCACATCCTCTGACTGTTTGGTTCCCAACACATGATAATACAATTTGTGGTAAAAGTTGCTTGTAGTTTCAGTACCATCAGACTTACCATCAACAGGATATCTCTATAATAGAATTTAAAATTACCATTAAAATAAGTAAGATTTTTCTTTTAATAAGAAAATAAAAATAAGGATAAAATAAATAACTGCCAACATTAAAAATATGAGATTAACAGGCACATGAAGATCGATTAGGTTTTTTTGTAATAAAGTGCTAAAGCTTCAATTTTATTTTCTGCCACACTTTTTAATATGAACAGCTTAATAATTTTTTTTTTTACTTAACAGATGAGGAATTTCAAACAATTGTTCTTATCTTCATTAACATAGACATTTCGAGCAAAAACCTTCTGGTCATCGTCAGGTATCATTTTGAAATGAAATGAAGAATTGCCAACATACTTTGACTGATTTAATTTATTCAAACAATTGGTTTAATAGAGGTTATTATAAATGCTACAATAGACACAATGTTTTGGCCATCTTTATAATATATTCTGGTTCAGCATGAACAAACAAAATATGGCATCCCAGAGACAAAATAACACAACAAAATCAATATAGATATTTTATATCAATCAAAATAATGGACATCTGAAGATGGCCAAATGAAACTGTATTTATACATCCCCCCCCAAAAAAAAAACTGAGAGTAAAAATAATAACCACTATTTATTAGAGTACAAGAAGAATTTTATATTTACAAGATTATAAAAATATATGAACCAACTACAATGTAATATTTATCATTTACTATATTATAATGAAATAACTATGAAAACTGCTTTTTTATTCATAAATTTATAAAATGTCTAAACAACAAAATTGAAATAAACAATGAATAACAATAATTATTAATTTTGAAAAAACATTTTCTGGACATTGCATTCACTTGCTCTCATCACATAAATTCACTAAAATAGGTTGAGAATACATGAATTTATACAATTTTTCTTGAGAATTGACAAGAATGTTACAAACACTATTAGATTGTTATTTTACAAGGATAATTTGCTTAAGTTTAACAAACATACATGGAAAGAAAACATACAGTAAAGCAGGGTCAAGAGAAAAAAAAAAAAAAAAAAAAAGATCCTTTTGATAGCTTTGTTTTTTGTGGATATGTTTATCAAATTTTACCAAATATACATAAGACAGTCTTTAAAAAAAAAAAAAAAATCTTTAATGAAACTACATCCCTAAATACAAAATTACAAAAGTGATGTACACTTTTGTATTACAGAAAATATTTAAAAATAATAACGTTTGTTTTTATATAAACTAATGATATATTGTACTTACATTATAGAACATGCCCTTGTTATCATGAGTCCAAGCCATACTTGAAAACTTTACATGCTCCAATGTATCTGGTAAATCGTTGCCAGAGGGACAATCTTTAAACTTTAATGAAAAACAAAATATGTAAATTTATATATGCTATATTGATAAAACATGACAATTTTCAAAAATAGCATACAGGTTATCGCTTTCAAAAAATTCAGGTAATCAAAATATTTATTGGAATTGGCCAATGTTGGAACAAGTCTATATTTCTAGAACACTCTACAATGATAATGTTTATTTTACAAGAATACAAGTTGGTGCTGAAAAGTTCTTTCCAAAATAAGTATTTCAATGACTAAGCATAGGAATTTAGGAAATAGGGATTAAAGGAACTCAATCAACAATGTGTCAAGTGTGTTGAAATGCAGGGAATACATTTCATGACTCTAGGTCATTCTTCTTAGTGGAGCTAAATATTTTCAGCACCCCCTTGTAAAATAAAATAGAAAAGCTCAAATTCAAAATAAAAATTCATAACAGTGAACACAAAACACAAAAATGACTACATTATAGTGTAATGTTAGGGAGATAAGAGCTTTTTATTTCATTAATCAATACACAAAATCATAATCTATTTCTTCTTTTATAGTTTTAATTTCTTTATAGCATTACAGATATTGGCAAGGACTTTTTACAAGTGGTAGGTGATGCCAGCTAAAAATAATGTTTCCCCATAATTAATATTATCCTTCTTACAAACAAATATGAAATGGGTAGAAGAGATAGGTAACAAATGTGACCTTTTGATACATCAATAGTTCTTTTATAGGTCATGCAGTATCAAGTAATATTTCTATCTACAACAAACAAAACTTCATTCACTGACTTGTTTAAGCAATTGAAAGCCATACCTACATCTCTACAGGCGTATACAAAATTTTTAATAAAGGGCTAATCTACAGTACATTCATGATTATATGAACAAATGAAAATGGAAAAAAATATGAAATCATCTGAAAACTTTCCAATTATCCAAACTAAACCTGTCCTAATATTTCATCTCAGAAAAGTATTGAGAATTTAGAAAACCATACTCAGCATTTGATAAAAAATGCTGATAAAATCAGTACATTTAAATTCCTATTAATTTCCTTGTTACTTTCCTAAAAAGAACATGCATTTGAATTATCAAAATTGGATCATACCACAGTTTATAGCTTAAGTAACTGCCACATACAGGAGACACACAAGCAATGGTTATGTTTGACACGTGTTTAAGTTGGTTATGCTTTTGACCAAAAGCTACCCTTACAAATGCATCGGGGTCATTCCACCTCAACCAATGGCCACATGTGTCCCTCTCAGAAAAATCTGGGAAAATTCACAGTTCTTGTTCAAACTTATTAATAAATCCCAAAAATCATATCTGCATCTTTAATAGTTTTAAAAGCAGAGCATCTTGAAATGTCACTGCATTTTTTTACATTTTGCTAAATAAAGTTTTCAACAAATAAAAAGTACGTAAGACATACCTAAGCTGTTTATCCTGTAATCTACAGTAAACATTAAATGTTGTCACTAAGTTTCAAATCTTTACATGCAATATTCTTAGAGTTATAAATGTCCAGAGATTCTTTGAAATCCTATGAAATTAATAAATTCTATAACATTTGTTTTTAATTTTTAAAGAGATCGGAGAAGCCAGAAAGATTGTCTAATGTCTGATATTTCAGATCTCCATTGTAAATCACTTGACTATGGTTGTTTTTAATGAAAGAGATTAGCACAATATTAATGCAATTAAACAAGTTTCTCAATCTACTGTCTCTAATGGAGGCATTCATTTTTCTTTCTATTCCTACAAATACAGAAAGTAAGAATTAGGTTAATGTTTGTCAACAAATTGATAAAAAAAAATAATAAAACAGGCTCCTTGCTGCAGAAAGCAAATGACATTGATATACCTTAATTGTTATCCAATCAGATCCACTTTGGCTAAGGCCATAAGCAAAATAAGACCCATCCTCAGAGAAAGCAGTACCACTGATGGCCAGAGTTCCATCCTCAGACAGTTTGTTTGGATCCAAAAAAACACGTGGTTCACCATCTAGGCTATCTTGGACATACATAACACTAGAAAAAGAATTAAAAGGCATAAATATATCTTAAATAAATACAAAAGTAATTCAGAGAAAAAATAGCTGTCTTGAAATACACCAATTATTTAACTCTTACCACACCTCCCCAAAGTATGATATCACAGCTGGTATTGCTAGTGGTTTATAACAAATAGATTTTTTGATTTTTTTTAAATGGGGGATGAAGTTGCTAACCACATGCTCAGCCAGTTTTGAATTCAAATGGTTACCAACCAAGACTAGGAAGTTCAATCTGCTGTTATTTAACCCATAGCTGAGAGGAGAAGAGATGATTCATACATTTTCAAAGAGTATTTGTGTGGAAATAAACAACTGTGCCAGAGTTTGAACACGGTTCACCAATTTCTGTTTCTAAATTGATAGCCATTATGCTACCCACACATCCAGAAACTAAAACATTGTTGCTGAAATGTGCAAATAAAATTCTGTTTTCAAATAATATTGGTCCATTAAAACATTAAAGTTATTAAAACTAAATTTAACATTCTTTTAATATTTTTTCTAATTGTCCACCCAATACAAAGCCAAAGAGCCACTCAATATAGCAGATTACTAAATGAGGTTGTCAGGGAAGTATCCTCTCAGAAACCTGTTCCACAAAGTAGCAGATTATATTTTATTTTGACAATACAGTCATGCGAATAATTTTTTTTCCAAACTAAATGTATTCCTATTCTAATAAAAAAAATGTATTAATGTAAAAGAAAAATAATGAATGAAGTACTTTTAAAATATACAAAAAAAAAAAAAAAAAAAAAAATATTTTAGTATTCTTCAAAATAATATTTGTTGTTCATTTTGCCCATTACTATATATATATATATATATATATATATATATATATATATATATATATATATATATATATATATATATATTTATTAAAAAGACATTTTTATGTTTAACGTTGTTATTTTATAAAAATGTCTTTAATAAATAAATTGTCGGACCTTGTCCATTTTTAATATATATATATATATATATATATATATATATATATATATTTTGTCCACCAGTATTAATTACTAAAAATCATTTAGTTTTTTATGATCATTATGCTTACCTCTGGTTCTGCAGTCCACTGTTATGGTAATAATAATAAGATCCTCCATGTTCAGCAGGGGAACTATACTTAGCAAAATTCCACTTCTCAGTTAGGCAAAAAAAAAAAAAAAAAAAAAAAAAAACCTTTGTTTAATGTTTGCATTTCTTATATTCAATATGCAATACAGTAAACAAAAAAACAAATTAATGTATTTCAAATATATCTAAAAAGCTTAAAATATAAATTCTTACAAGATTATAACTTATTAGTGGGTGGCTTAAAAGGTTTTGTTTTCATTAAATGGCATTTAATAATAATAAAAAAAGGCCACATTATCTTCACATTTAGTAGACTGCACAACTCACAGGACTTAAGAATTTCATTCAATGTGCATTTTTTTGGCCTGATATTATGGCACATGTGATCTTTGAGTGCTTTCTTAAATCAAGGTTTTACTATATTTGAAAAATAACCATATTGCATGAAACTGGAGAAAAGGAACACACTGAAAATATTCAAATCAAGCAAAAAAGATTTGCACTATTTTGATTATTTTAATCAATTTGATGTGTAGTTTTCACTTAAATTGATCAAAGAAAAAATAACTATTGTATTTTCATGTGTACTTTATTATTCAAAAGAAAATGTATCATGTTTTAAACTAATTGTGATAGATGATTGTAAGTGGATAATTCATAACACCATGGAATGTTAGAGGCCATGGGACAAGTAAAATGAATCCCCATTAACCACACCAAAGGTGATGTGTATACAAGCAGAGTGAGAGTCCTCTGCTATGAATTCCTTCTAAAGAACCAAACAATTGACTTGAATAAATATTGCTTCCAGTCAGACTGGCTGAAAGCAGCAACCAATGAAAAGTGTCTGGAATTAGTTAAGAAAAAGGACATAATATTGCATTAGGATAATATTGTTTAGTGAGCAAGCAATAATTGTTACAAATTGGTTGGGTAGTTTTCGCTATTCTACTGTATTCAGCACCTTTAGGTTACAATTTACAAAATTCTTTTAATGAAAGAAATTTGAATTCCCTCAACTGTCTCAAAAGGCACCTAGAACAGTTACACAATTTTTATTTTTTTTACTTTTTTTTAGTGGATATCCATATTTGAGTAGGCACTATTTATTAAACAGTATATTTATTTTTGTCTACCAGCCTGAATATTTGAGAAATTAAAGAAAAATATGTGCTCTCCAACAGGATTAGAACCAGCATACCCACTGGTAAGAGACACCATTATTAGATCTGACATGCTTATACCAACTCAGCTATGAAGTTCATCGATGATCAAACAAATCTGAATGGCGCCTTATAAACGCAAATCTTTCTCAGACTCTCGATACATTCATATCTGCTCAGTTTCACATCCTAACATAAACAAAACAATTCTTAAAGAAGTAATAAGTTATTTTATTTATTAATCTAATATTTTATTATTTAAATGTTTTTTTTAGTGAATATCCATATTTGAATAGATGCTCAGTTTATTGATTAAACCGTATATTTATCTTTGTCCAGTGGTTTGAAGAGTTTATAACTCAGATCCTCATAAGGTTTTGAAAGCAGAATGTTTTTTTTTGTATTCCTACTGTGTACTTAGATAGACATGATCAGTACATTGACTTCTTCAATTTCATAAAAAGAAAAAAAGCTTTATTTTTTTCTTACCTGTCCTGAATTTTTTGGCGATATTCACATTGTTCAATGAAAGGACTGCTTACAGCATTTTGGGCTTCCACAAATTCCTTTGTCTCCTCACTATCAGGGTCTTCCAACCATCGATATGGATCTGCAATCTAAGGATATTTATAATAAAGTTAGAGTTTTAATATTTATACAATTAAACAGATTTCCTTCCATTACAACTTTTGACATGTGTACAATTTTTAAATTTTCATATGAATATCTTTTCTTGTGGGAGCTTTAGCAATAGACATAGGAGCAATAGAAAAGAGTTGCAAAGAAAAAAACAAATTATGCAGGTAAAGTGAAACAGGAAGAAAAAAACAAAACAGGTAACTGGTTGCTGTTCCTCACTCTTCACAGCTGTGAATGGAGAATAAAAGAGAAAGTGTACTTAATATTTTAATTGTTGTACACACCCTTTTATTCCTCAGGGATCCGAAGAAGCAACTAATTAGCTTTTTTTTATCTTTGTTTTCCTTAACATGTTTTATGGTAATTTCATCTTTTTCATTGCTCTTGATTCTTCTATTCTTTTCAAAAGCTATATTTTCATATGAAAATTAACTATAGATAATTTGTTATGTTTATCTTTTCTTGATGTTATTTTATAGTAGGAGGGAGAAAAAAAAAAAAAAGAAAAAAGCTATCAACACAATTAATAACAAATACAGTGTCCGATGAATAAATTGTCGCCATCTTATATATTTTTAATTTCAAGCATGCACATTGTTTTTGTCAACTGCACAGTATAGCAGGGTCAGTAGAGCACCATAATTCAATTTATTCCACTAGAAATTTGCAAACGGCATGCTGTACTGCTTGGTATTTGCACCAGAAGTTCCAATACAAATATTTCAGAGTGTTTTGGCATTAATCTGAGGACAGTGCAGAGGATTAGGAAAGAGTTGGAGGATATATTCAGTCAAAACCATAGTGGAGTGATCATTAGTGTTGGCAATGTTATGCATCCATTCATCATTCTGCAGAGCCTGAGACTCAACTTGGAGGCCTACATCATGCCTTGAGGAGCTAGTGCTGTCCTGGGTTAAGACGATAGCTGCTGGAAGACACTGTCTGGCAAATGGACTCTGCACCATGCCACAAAAGCAGGAGAACCAATCACATCACCACTTACATCTGGCCACCTAACTTCCCAGACTACAACTGCCTTGGTTATTATATGTGGGGTGCAGTTGAGCAACAAAACTCCTTGTAAAACCAAAAATGAACTGAAGGCAAGGATTATGGCACCATTCACCAATTTAAACAAGGAGACTTTCCAGAAGAGTTGCAGGAGATCCTGAAGTCATCTGGAGGGTGTGGTTGAAGCCAACGGTGTTTTTATTGAATAAATTTACTCTTTGGTATTTTAAGATATTTTTGTGTAATTTTGGTAAATATATCTGTTAAAATTAGATGTCAGCACTATTTTAACTGTTGCATAAATTAGACAATTTATCCACCGCACCCTGTATGTACCTAATAATTTCTTCCTTTTAGAGTTTATCACTGGTTTGTTAATCACTTTTAAAAATAAAATAATTTCTGTTTTATTTTCGAGTTTTCATTAATTATTCCAAAAAATCTGTTCAAAGATGATGCTGTGCAAATCTATTTATGCACAAACATATACAAACACAAAATCACATGTACAATGCCAAATGATCATTGGCTAATAAATCACCGATACATTTTCTACAGGCAATTTACAAATCACAGTAATGTGAGAATTTTGGAATCGCTTTATTTTTAAGTAGTCAAATTTGTGCACTTTTGGGAGAAGGGGCTCACAGAGGCTCCCTTAAGTTGCTTGCTGATTGATTGATTGGTGCCAACCAATCAGATCGTTTGCACGTGAAGAATAATTTTTTCTGCGCAACGAATCAGAGCCTATAGTCGCTTATTTAAGCCAAGATTTTTCTCATCTCAATTAGTGAACCTCAACTGCTAAACAAATCCACAACAGTTGGAACCACATACCAACCTTCTCACTCACACACACACCCACATGCTGATAATTTGTACACCTTTATTAAAAACTTCTTTTGACAACAATACTTTTCAACAGTAATATCACAAGAACAATCATATCTTGAAACACTCATGAACATTTATCCAGTGAACTTTAAACCAAATAATTATCTCTCACTGAATTCTTAAATTGCAATCAAAGGGAGGCAACTCTTGATTAAGTCAACCTTTCTTAAATGCATGTTTTCTTTCACATCATTTTTTGATATTGTACATCTTGTTAATATACATATATTTTATGTGCAACAATGTCTTGTGATTATTCTTCTTGCATGAGTCATGTTTTCTTATCAAAGTTAAATTAATTCTAGTGAAATCCACCACAATGCAAATAGATATAAGCAGACAAGTTGCTATGGAAATTAAAATATGGTCACTTACTAGTTTGAGTACATTCTATAGTACAATGGTTACTTATTAAGCTTAACTTGAACAAAACCACAGTAGTGTGGCATTCAGCAAGAATCAAACTCAACTACATTAGTGAAGTATTTTGAAAGAAAAACTCCCCAACCATTGCACTATGGTAAACATGCAATACTATAGTGCAATGGGTTAATTTGTTACCAATTTGTTTTAGGCAAGCAAATTGAGTTCCAGACAAATTATTTTAAAATAGAACAGTTATGGCTATAAATCAAGAAAAATTATAAAATTAGTTTAAATTTATAGTTTCATAATACAAATTTACATAAGGTTACTAAATAAGACAGAAAATTCTATTTGCATATAATGCAAAAGACAAGTTGCTACAGTTACAGAAATTATTAAAAAAACAAAAAAAACCCTGCTATTGTGGAAAAAAAACAAAAAAAAAAAATTGTTTTCTGTGCAAGAATATCACATATATTTACCTGCTCCACACCACCCACTAAGTCAGAATGTGACACAAAGTGATTTTTTTTTTTGCATACACATGTATATGTGACAAAGACAAAAATTGCCCAATCCCTGCAACCATGGTCACACTGAGATCAATATTAAACTGACTCCACTTCTCTTAATGCAATAAGAGAGGTGCTGCTGCAAGGTTGGAATCCCCAGGATTGGGGGGGACTTCTATCTCAAATGAGGAGATAACAGATACTACAAGCCGAAAGGAAGACTAGACATATCTTAATTAGAAATCATTACAAAAAAATTAAAAAAAATTAAATATTTCAGCTAATAAAAAAGGGTTTGCACCAAAAATGAATCCTGATCATTGTGAGCCATCCTACAGATATTAAAATAAATCTGAATCCTTTAACAAGAAATTGTATCAGTGTTCTCTCCTACATCTTATACCATGTGCAGCAGTTTTACCAGCTCCACTTCCAATGGTGTCTGTAAGCATTGTGAACTCTAGAAAAAAACAAAAAAAAACAAAAAAAAAAACGAACACTTTCTTTCATTGAATTCTTGAAAAAACTTCCAATTTGTAGTGAACTCTCAAAGGAAAAGTTTTATTCACCTGAGTGAAACACATTAATAAATTTTTATTGCATGAAATAGATTTTATTCTATGAATTATCTTATATCTGTTTGCATCTATGACATTGTGTTTGAAAAATATAAAAATGAAAGACATATTGTTATGCCTTTTAAATGTTAATCTGTGCCTTTCTTTGAATAAGCTGTGCACCTGTAGAAACAGAAATCATCCAACACAAAGAATTTATAGCTAGTTGTCTCTCAGTATCCCATCTGATATTGTACTTGAACTTTTGACCCTTAAGTCAGCAACAGAAAAAGTTGACCAAATACAAGTTAAATCTAAAAGGAAAAAAACAGGAGTAATATTCATTTATATGGAATTAGAACATCAGAAAGTTAAATGCTATTAGGACCAACATTTGAAAATTCACCATCAAAGGCTGATAAAAAGGCTATTAATACATTATTTAGTTTCTGTAGTTGTGTTAAAGAATAGCAGTGTTTACAATGACAAAATCTCACATCTGCTTGCTTCCACTTCCAACTTTTCTCTACCCTTTACCACTATTGTATACCACCTTTTTCCAGTGGGTGATCATTCTTGTATATTCATAGATAGCTGATCCCCACTCCCGCAAACACTCAATATCATGTATCCGCCTTGGACTTCTCGTAAATGGTGGTTTGGCAGGCCAGACACCTCGAGTGCTTTGGATCAGGAAAATGTGAATATCCATCGTTACACTTCCCCACTGATTATAAGATCACACAGGTGACGGGGGTAGAGGTTCGCTTCACCCTAGCACTTCTTCACATTGGGACACTTTACCCTAGCACTTCTTCACATTGGGACAAGAATGTCTTCCTTCCCAGCTGAATCGTCAGACGTGCCAAGACCTGAATCAGAATCCGTAGAATGAGGACTCGATAAAGGTCAGTATCATCTCTCACTCAAATGGGGTGCCACTGCTGCCTGCACTGGAGGCTGGTTATTGACAGGCATTACTCCCTGACAAATGTGTCACTGCCATCATCTACTGGCAGCTCCGAACTGAGCTGTGGATGCATATCTCCCACATGCTAGGGGCATGCTGGCAACGACCACTGTGGACTGATTATCCAGTAACGCAACCTGGTTTAAGTTTTGATGTGCACCGTCCCCATGGATTTTTCACCCAGACTGAGTCCACCTAACTGTACCTGGTCAATATCCCTTGGTCAGTTGTTGGTAAACCATGAATGCTCCCCAAGTTAGGCAAAGAGGGATGACCTGATCAAGCCACTGCACACCAATTCCAGCTTCTTGATCCAATCAATCACAGCTCCAATCCTGTCAAATTTGGAAATAATTTTCAGATCAAACCGGCCGTCCATCTCTGTCAAAATAACCTGTTATTTAGTTTCTGTAGTTGTGTTAACAAATAGCAGTCGTTACAACACCAAAATCTCATGTCTGCTCACTTCCACTTCCAACACCTCTCTACCCTTTACCAGAATTGTATACTGCCTTTTCCAGCTGATGGTCATTCTTATATATTCAAGATGACCAATCCCCCAAATGCTCAATATCATGCATGTGCATTGGATCTCTCATAAATGGCAGTTCGGCAGGCCAGATACATCAGAGGCTTTGGATCAGGTAAACATGAATATCTATCATTAC